AATGAAACAGCATTAAACTGTCGTGTGTGGCCAATTTATATGATGGGAAGGAAAATAGAATAAGCCTATAACACGTAAGTCAGCTTTCTTTGTCCTTTTTAAAAAATGTAACACGCCGCAAGGAGGATTTTAAGGTCTGGGGCTTGGAATGCTTAGGGTTGGGCTTCAAGGGTGGGGATTAAAAGGTACAGAAAGGGAACACGGAGCTTCCACGCCACAAGAGGGAGAGAAGTCCGTAGGGCAAATCTAAGCCCTCTGAAGGAAAGTCTTAAACAACCACCTAGGGGCTCGAACAGAGCTGAACCTATTTTGTGTATGTGTGTTATTTCCTTTGATGTGCTCGTATTCATAGTGAAACGGGCTAAAGGAAAAAGAATTTCATGTTCATCGCGAAATTACGTAATCCCATCAGATTTAATCAAGTCAGTATCTTGAGGACGAGGACGAAGATGGTTCCCGAAACATTGGCGTTTTCATCTTTCAACCACCTGACATGGCTGGTAGCCCGAAAATAATTTATTATAATTCGATCATACTTGAAACGTACATTGTAAATAAATATGCAAATTCTATTACGTACTAATTACGAGCATGTGGGCTGTCACTCTGTTCGCTTTTATATAACACTCTACCAACGTGAGCATCATTGTTAACATTATATGATAAAATTACTGTTGGTGAATAAAATACGTATATTATACTAATAGGACTATTATTATTTCTATATCTGGTCTGGTCTAGCAGTTAGAACGCTGGCCTTGTAATCCTGGGGTCTCGGGTTTGATTTCCGGCGGTGCCCGAATTTATAACTTGTGTTGGGCAAGGCCGTGGTCTAGGCAACACGGAGTTTTCCTCCGGGGGCTTCCCCGGTTTCTCCGTGGCATCCCAACAATTACCCCATTCACACACAGAAGAAGGCAATGGCAAACCACTTCTGGATCATCTCCCAAGAACGTATATGAACAGGTCCCAATCCGAGAAAAGGATGGAAGGATCCTGGTCATATGGACCTGTCCTCAGACAGAAAACTAAATAAATAAAAATAAACATACAACAATATTGACATGAAATGCCACCAATATAGCTGTTATTACAATGATGAACGTCTAAAACACTGTCACTTCAACTACAAAACACACATCATCATATTTCTGTTACTTATTATATAATTAATGTCACATCATGTTACATTGAGATAGGCTCAGACCTTTTCCTTTGGTTCATCATCATTAACATTAGTACTCCTACTACCACCACCATCATCATCATCATCAGAATAATTAAATATGAAAAGCATTTAATTTCGAGAAATAGTATCGTAATACATCACATTTTAATTATAACTTTAATATCAAAGAAAACCCGTAGGTGGAGACACTGAAATACAATTATAAATTATTGTGTAAGTCCTCGATGGCTTAAAAAGGAAGAACCAGGGTAGAATTCGCAAAGGAACTTCTCTGTTATTCATATTCATTCGTTGCTGTTAAACTGGCCCGTTGTTTAGTTACGTGTATACAAATTATTAATTGAAAATACTTTAGATGCATCCAGAAGATTGACATTTATTTTTCTTATTAAGCTTTTCGGGATCAGCCCTTATGGACCTGTTATAATCCAGAAACGTTTCTGGAAGAAGAATCGAGTTAAGATATTTGATAGGATTACGCGGACGAGATTGGTGATACCTGTTAAGAATTTAATAGAAGAATTAAGAGATCTGATTCGGATAAGAAATCCATTAGTGTCTGATTTGACACCATCCGGAAATAATGCGCCTCCTTTCCTGTACAGACTTGCTTGAGGCATTCGATTAATTTTATCTTACTGGCTCAAAAAAAGAACAATCCCAGAAAGTGGTTTATCCGCTTCAGTGCCTTCTAAATGGAGCGATTCAATCAACTCTTTTCTCTTTCGAAGAGTAAGTTAAGCATTTTGACGGTTTCGAAGAAATTGGAAGTATTTAACGTAAAACCCATGATGCTGACTGATTTTATAAACTTGTACGGAACACATTAATACTTTGTATCTTGGTTTTAAGACGCTACACAAGATTGAATATGAGACGGGATAGCTCAGTCAGTATAGTGACTAGCTACGGGCTGGACGACCGGGGTTCGATCCCCGACGGGGGCAGAGGATTTTTCCTCTAGCCTCTGCGTCTAGACC